CTATGTAATTCTATTACCTATGGGCTAAGCACATAACCTTTTCATCTCGTCTTAACAATTGCATCTTGTCTTAGCAAATCAATTCATTAGCCAATAAATAAATAAATATGTTTATCAATTGAAAACAATATTTTACAGCATTTCCAATAGTCGAGCTGTTTGATCCAAACTTAATGCCGCATAATGTTAAGAATAAGACACTAAGGGTTGTTCATGTCAGACTTCAGGGAATTCAATGAGTTCCAGTCCTACAACCATCCACGTCCAAAGCACCACAGATGTTGTAAAGAAAAGGGAGTTGTTGAAATTTTGTTGGAACTTTATAGTCTACTATTTGTGTTAATACTAGCCATTATCTTACTTGGCATTTTCTTCCAGCACTAGTCTCTTGAGTAGCAATATCCGAATTTTACATTTTTCCCGCTTGAAGCACAGTTAAAATTTATCTACAACCACAACAATAAATTAAGCCATGTTCTTAAAATATTCAGATGTGCAATAATATTACTTTTCCAGAATTGAATACTCAAAAGAAAAATACATAACTCCAGCAGCTACCAATTCCTATCACAAATACCAAGATACACACTTCAAATACAATAAATCATTAACTTGTACTATTCTCTATATTTAATATCCTCAGCAAAGCCTTGCGTCCTGCAAAACTTTAGGCAACTTAATTCTGAGGTCGGGATACGTAAAAATCATATAAAAAGTTAATCTAAATTTTCTTGAAATTTTGCATAGCCAAACTGCAGGTTTCATGTGAACATTATTTGTTATGTAACATCCATGAGATTAAGTTTAGAATTTATTTTTTTACTTTTAGCCAAAGTATAGTAATTTTTTGTAGTGTTTAGATGTTTACTCTTTATTAGCATAAAAACCACTGCTCACATTCACATGAGAGACTTTTATACATTGAGAAGAGGACCCCAGGGAAATTTAAGACAAATCACAATAAACTCCCACTAATCTTTGTCATATTCCAAACAAATGTATTCAACATCAACACCTTGAATTTCATACGGGATAATTGTAATTTATCATTGAATTATTTGGAGAAATTACATGGCTTAGATATGTTTGTAATAGGATCGATGTCCGTAAGTCTTATTCCCTAAACATAATGACTCGCCGACTATATAAAAGGCACGGATCTAGTTACCTTCTGAAATTTCACAAAGCCAGATGAACAGGGTTTTATGGTCAGTCAATGACCCTTGGATGTCAAAGGAGTCCTTGAGGTGATCTCATAGTCTGAAAATCAATGTGCCTAAAAGGAAGAAGATTGGAGAAACAATCGTCTTAGCGCGTGGCTATTAAATTTCCCATGATTCCTCCACCAACCTCAAAAAGTTTGGCAGAAGAAAAGCTGACTCCTAAAGCAAGCTTCTCCAACTCATCTCCTGCATTTAAACATGTTATAAGAATGTGATAGTACAATTCTCTTTTTTCAAGAACGTGATAGCATAATTCTCTTTTATCAAGAACGTGATAGTATAATTCTCTTTTTGTAATTATGATGTGATTCAAGAGCCGAGCCCAACGAAGACAAGCTCAGGACGAGACCCGTTGATTATCGAAGGGGGACCGATGACGTGTTCGAGGGCAAAGCGAGTAAATCAAGCAATGGGGCTATTAGTTCAATCAACAATTGATGAAACGATGATTGTGGCGCAAAATAGGGCAAGTTCCATGTTGTGGTTGAGAGCCGAAACCATTTGGATCAATTCGATACAAGCGGCCGAAGGTGGAGTTGAAGTACACAACTATGCGGTAGGCATAGCTGTGTACACCATGTGATCGCATGGTGGCAATCCAAGAATCGAAGGAGGCTGTTTGAAAGACCTGTGCTACCGCACACCAATAAACCATTCGGTCGCATGGTACAAAATTTTGGCGAAAGTTTCCTTTTTATGCGAATTTCCTATTTTGTTAGAATTCTAATTTAGGTAAAATTCTTGTAATCTTTTATT